CTTCACTCATATCAAACCTGTCACTTAATTATCCATATATTTTCCTCACATTCTCCTCTTATCCTATCCCTAGTAACCAACAAAGAAAATTCTCTTTCCTCAGTAAACCTTTCCTTGTGTTTTTACAATAATGGACTCATACAATATTATTCTTTCTGTGACTAACTTATTTCACTCAGCATGATGTCCTGCAAGTTCATCCATGTTATGAAATCATGCACTCTCTGAGTAAATTTAGCTGACACAGATACTACAACAATACCACATTGAACTCTTCTGCAAAAGGAATAATTCATTTACTGACTGTGGTAGTTACGATTGTGTATCATCTTGTCTGGCCTGGCTGAGTGGCTGGGCAGCTTGATGTAGTCATTCCCCATGGTGAGACTGGTAATCAATTCCACAGTGGAATCTACTGGAGCAGCTGAGTAGCTGCTTTAGGGATGTGGTCTGCTTCCAGTGCATAAGAAGGAGCATTGAGGTAGGTGTCTAGCTTTTTGGCATGCTTGGACCCTGTATGTAGCCAAGTTGTTGTTCAGCAGACTGTCATACCCTGCCAATCTTGGGACTTTTTCTGGACTCGAATTAGTGGCCTGAAGTATTGTTTGGTAATATTGGGACTTAACCTTTGTCCTTGTCAACATTGGTTTTGTCAACCTCAGCAGGCAGAATCTGCCTGAGTACAGAAAACCCACCTTCATGGGCCGGTAGCAAGAGGCCGAGCTGAAGCCCAAGGTTGGAGACCTTTCACCCAGGCCCTAGAGCCTGGCACTTTGAACTCAGACTTCTAGCCTCCAAAATTGTAAGAGAATAAACTCTTGTTTGGTAAAGCCATTCCACTGGTGGCATTTCTGTTAGAGCAGCGCATAGTAACCAAAACACTTACTGAAGCAACCTGGAAGTTCACACTTTTGAGTGATGACCTGGATTCCATGCAAATACCTGTAATGGCGGGACTTAATATCACTTCAAACACTGCTAGCACCCAGCATCAACAATAAAATTACAGTTTAGTTAGTATTTCTAACCCTGTTTAAATTCTGTTTTCCTCACAAATATTAAAGAATGTAACAGGGAGAGTCCCTCACCTGGTCACCAGCTGTATCAGGTGGTAGCACACACATCATCCAAGCACAGCCTGTGTCCTGTATTTACCTTGATGGAGTGAGGTCCATCCATCCTGAACTTGGTCAACATAATTATCAGACCTAAAACCTGCCTGCTGTCTCCTGGAATCATCCTGGGAAGATGGTGTGAGGAGTGGTCACACACTGATAAGAAGCTCTGTGTTTTGAACTGTGTGGTGCACACAGATGTACACACATAGCTAAGTTTAATTGCTTATCATGTATCATGTACATTTGTGCACTATAGATGATGGAATCATCAGTGAAGGCATGAAGAAAACATGGAGGGCAATGCCACAAATCATGAAATCAGAGTTTTCAGGCAGATGAATGCAGCACCTGAAAAAAATTGTTTAGAAAATTATGTAGAAGTGCTAAGGCTCATAAAGTAATATTTGAAGAAATGGGATATGATACACTCATACTCACACATACACACCTTAATGCATACTTGCTCCCATGTGTATAGTAACACATGTTAATGCAAACACACACTATAACAGAGACTCACATAACATTTTCTCATTAACACACACACACAGACTGAGTTAAATGTGCATATTAAACACACTAATACACACTAGCACACACCATCAAGTACACAAATGCCCACACACCAGCACACATAACCTAACAAATATACATACAGGAAGCATCCACCCAGATACAGAAATAGACATATACATTAAAACACAGATTAACATACCTAGGGACACACAAACTTAAACACACTGCCATTGTAACAATGAAAGGAACACAGCCATTAGCATGCATGACATCATACACAGAGTAACACATACTAACACACACACAGTAATTCATGAACATTGACACACACAAGCATGTACAGACAAAATAAATTGTACAAGCACTTACACACGCTCTCACACACATACACACACACATCCATGATCACAGAATTGTGAGGTCAGTGGAGAAAACATTACGTGTGCAGGAAAAGGAAACACCAGGCTGATTTCAGAACTTCCTCCCTAGGCTCCTTTGCATCTTCTCCCTGGTGGGCCCTGTGGTCCATGGGTCCTGAGCGCCCCCTGCAGCCCAGCCTTCTCCCTGCATGGAACTTTGTGTCTGGTCACATTGGGTCTCTCCGACAGAGTTACAGAACCGAGTCCACAGCAGTCCCAGAGTTCAGCCCCTGAGAGAACTGGCCCATTAGACATGTCTCTGTTGTTGTTGTTGTTATGTGCCGTCGAGTCGGCCCCGACTCATAGCGACCCCCTCCTTGGGTTTCCGAGGCAGTATCACT